GGCATCCCAAGTGATCAGCAGGAGATGCTGACAAAGCAGAAAAGCTCTGACTCCCAGGGGTGTTCACAGTGTGCCCTCTCTTAGGGGCACCCAAAAGTGACAGGGCCCATGCCTCTTACAGATGGTCAGAATAAGAAGTAAATGTATTCAGAAACAGTCATTCCCCGGACATGGAAAAAAGCTAGTGAGCATTTATTTCAAATCTTCAATTCCCAATACTGTGATTTCAAGGCTTCAAAATACCTTTGAATATCTTTCTTTCTCCATTAAGTATATCCAGTGCCTGTAAAGAACACTTCACATCTTTTAGAGAACAACATAGACAAAAACTGAAGTCAAACCTACCAAGTATTGCAAGATTTCACTTCCACTGATGTTTTGATTTAAGTCTCCCTAGAGACCCTGTAAATGACAGCAGTCATTTCTGTGGTTTCATTTCCAGTAGTTTGCATGGCACCATCACTGTAAGTCCAGCTCTGAACCTAACTCCCTAAACTGCCCAGCCAAGTTTTTGTTGCTCTCAGGTGGCAATCAGTGATCAACCTGCTAGAACAGAAGCCATTTAATCCCTCCAGAACATAACTTCTGAATTTGCTTGACTTCCATCTGGAATGCAGTCCTTTTTAAGAGCAGCAGTTTGGTTTCTGACCAACAGCAGCTGCATTTTCAGTCTTGTCATACGTGAAACATTGGGTTCAACAGATGTAAATGTGCCGGGGAAACTCAGCAGTGTGGCTTTGTCAGCAGCTTTCCAGGCTTTTGAGTTCAATTGAGTGCAATTGCACTGAGAACCACATGTTTCACACCCCATGAAAATAAAGCAGAACGGAGATCTTGCATGGGGGCTCACAATGGGACACAGAGATTTAGGTGGGAAATAATTCCAGGTACATAAGTGATAAATGAATACATGGAAAGTTCTAAGGAAAACTTTTATTTCAACTGTGCAATCAATCAGTATTTAGACAGCAGTTTCATAAACATTTGGCATTAAAACTTCTATTATTTTTTGGCATGACCTTGGGGTAGTATATAAACAACCCTGGAGGGGAAAAATGAACCAACACACTAGGTAACATTTACTAGAATGCTAGAAAAAGAAAAACAAATCCACATTATTAAACAAAATAGTTTTAAAAAGACATTAAAAAGTTACATTCAAATCAGGGCAAACATTAGCTTCCCTCATGCAATGGAATTCATGGAGCTGATCCCCTGAGACAAATATAAAATTCATACAATTCAGCTCCATCCTCCATTAGCCAGTCAGCCATTGCTGCCCTTGGAAGAAAATGGCACATGGAGTGAAAGGATCCAGACCACCACAATGTCAGATACACACACCTGGCTCCTACACTGGCAATTCGTTCACAACTTTAAAAAAAAAAAAAAAAAAAAGCCAAACAATCAAAAAGCAACATTTATATAAATCAGTTTTTCATATACAGTCAGTCTTCACTGAAAACACACCAGGCAGATGCAATGTGAATATATGCAACCACGAAAAGCTGAAAACTTTTTTTTTGAAGGAGCCCAATGAAACCAGAGGACCCAACACAGCAAAACCTTAAGCATGTTTTTATATCCCTTTTGAGTCACTCAGGAGTAGGCTCAGCATAAATCTAGAGGAATTTCAAAGAAATAAACATACATTTGAGCCAAACTGTATTTGTGTTCTTTTCTCTATTAATAGAAAGTGATTTGGGTTTGGACTTGTATTGCAGAAGTGTGGGTTTTGAAACACATGTTCCAAAACAGTACATAGAGTTATTTTAGAAAGGTGCTCAGTATCTCCTGCAGACAGGAATCCCTTTGCTCTAGAGATTGCCTGCCATTAGCAGAGCTGCAGCTGCAGCAACTGGCAAGTGTATAACAATTGTTCAAGCTAAGAACTACTACTTCAGCAATTAGCAAGTGTAATCCTGCTCTCTATTTTATGAGAATAATGTCAGTAAATTGATTTCTGTGAAATACCACCAGTATTATACCTGAGCAGCTCTTTCTGGTTGCCACGAATGGGATTTTTGGCTAAACATGGAGTGCCCTCCAAAACCTACCAATGTTCCCCATGTTAGGAGATGGACTTTTCCCTGCAAGAACTTCATTAAATGAACAAAAATTCATAAAATGGACAAAAGCTCAGAGTTTGCTCAGAGTAGCATTTTACTGAGTGCCAGCAGTAACTATGCTTGTGTACACCCAGGCTGCAGCAAATGAGAAGTCATTCAAGTTGACTTGATCTGCAATGAAAAAGAGGTAAACTGACTTGAAATATTCCGTGTTTACTACAGGCTAATACTGGATTCATGAAAGAACCCCTGATGACTTACCTTACAAAAATCCATTTGCCAGTAGGAGTTTTAACCATCTAAGACTCCTGTCCTTTTAAAATAATAGTACTGTCCAGATTTAAAAAAACAAACAAAAGCTTATTTTGTTTGTCCAGACTATGCAAACTGAAATACAAATTAATTCTCCCATTGGCTTAAAAAGAAACAGGATGAGGACCCTGATTTGAACAAGGCAAACAAGATGAAGCTCATATCTAAAGAATGGGATTAAACCCAGAGAGAGAATGAACTATAAGAATAATTAAAAACTGGCAAAGCAATCTGTTGATACTCTTTTCTGTTAAAAATATCATCAGTTATCCAAAAAAATGGAGAGCAAATATAGGAAATTACTGAAAGTGGTATGCAGATTTTTCAGGCTTCTCTTACAATAGCAGAGCTATTAAAAAGTAACCAATTGATGTGCCCTGTCCTGCACAGCACACACATTCCCAGTCCTGGATGACTCCTGAAAGATGACAGTGCTTTGTATCTGTCAAATATGAAGAAAGCACACAAGTGTAGCTGTGGGCAGACTGAGCATTTAGTTTTGGCTCCAGGTCTTGCTGTGGCACTGAAGGGCAGATCCTCTCTTACAAACACCATCACCACAGTAAGCCAGTTTTGAGGTTTCCTCTGTAAGTTTTGATGCTTTTCAAGTCACATCAGTGGTAACATTTTTGCTTACTTTTAAAACACAAAGGTTGCACATACACTCATTACACCAGCCATGGCCCCTTAGTTCTTACTACATTTAAACAAAATCAATTCACATAGTGTAACACTAAATTTCACATTTATGTTCATCTTCCAGAACATATTTAGTTAAATTCATAATTAAGAAATTATATATTTTTCTCCAGGACCCAGTTTCTACAGACATAACCTAGAAGAACAACCTGGAAAACCTGAAACCTGTCTGCCTGCTGTGTTCTGCCAGTTCTTTCTAGGCAAATGGAATGAACAAAGTGAAAAACTCATTCCTTAGACAGCCACAGATATAAACTTTGAAAAAAATTATCATTTGTAAGACCATATTTATAATTACATGCATTGGCTTCAAGGCTATGAAGCATTTAAACTTTTAAATTTTGCACTGTTACAATTATGAAGGATTGATTCTGCTATTAAGTTCAATAGAGACGAGATCAATTTCTAAAATTTTTCTGGATATTCTTTTGCTTTTCTTGTTGGCATTTTCAATCATAAGACAAATTTTCTCTCATAAAATCTTGTGATATATTAGTACTAGGCCATGAATTTTTGAGGAGAGCATTTTTTTTTCTGTAGAAATCATGACTGTGCCAAAGGGAAGCACATGAATGTAGACTGGGTTCTGGAGAAGTGTTTTATATTTGGTTAACATAAAAATAAAGAAAAAGAATAATTAATGCCTAACTAAGCTTGCCTATATGCTGAGGTAACCTTAAATATCTTTGGTTTTCTTTATTTGCTGATAAGAAGTACCTTGATAAAACATTAAGTGATGAATCGAATTTTGGATGCACTGCTCTCTAAATACGCTGAGTATTTTCAAATCTTTGGCTGCTGAACTTCAAGCATCTATCTAAGATTGGCAGATTTTATATGAAGTCTGTTTCTCTCAGACTACCCATAGGTTAAACTACAGAATAGGTCTTTGGAAAGAAGAGTTTAGGATTATTGTATTTACCTGTAACAAGGATCATCAAATTATACCCCACTGCCAGTACTTACAGCAAACAAGTCTTTGGAGAAGCAGTTACCATCTGCATATCAGCTCTTTCTGAATGCAACTAACACAACAGGCTACTCTGAAAGATGAAGTGTGAAACTTCATGCTACAGTTACACTTTCTTACTCTAGTTCTGATTAATTCACACTTTACCTAACTAAAAACAGTACTCTGCTGTACACTACACATTCTGCCTGACAAGACCAAAAATAAATCTTTGGTGAAAAGGTTTTCTTTTTCTTCAGCAAGTAGATAAAAAACTGTTAAAAAATATTTTTCTTAATACTGTACTGTTCATCAGCTACATGCTGGAGAAAAAAATTACACTTGGAATTCTTTGGAGATATCTGCTGGCATTATAACTTTCTTTAAAGGCTCTTGTAACAACAAGGTAGTTAAAATTGTTGAAGCATACAACTCACCTATGCAATTGGCTATTACAATCAAGAAGCCCTATCGGTTTTTGTTAGTAACTACTTATACAATAAAATGTATTCAGCTCTTCAAACCATAGCTTTTTAATTAGTTCAATAAATTTTGGACAATATGTGGCTTCCTTCTCTTCCACAGAAAAGTCTTTGGTACAAGATCATTCTTCAAGCATTTGAATCAACACTGTTAGGGAGAGGTGAATGTGTACTGTGTGCTCCAGGACTGGCAACAGTCCAAGGGAAAGAGCTCCAGGAACCAGAGCTCCACTCCTCAGCACAATCCAGTCACCAGAGTGGGGCTTACCCACAACTTCTGACTGACGAGCAACACAGAAGTCAGCCTGGCACACCTGGAGGTGACATCTCGGCCCCACTAAAGTCAGTGGGAGTTCTGACAGACTTGAATACAGCCAGGAGTTCCTATGGTTGATTTCTCACAACATTATATTTTAATTTTTTTTTTTTAAGTAAAAACATATGCCTAATTTTTTTTATTTTTTTTTCTCTTTTTCTTTCTTTCTTTTTTTAAAGTAGAACAGGGAAAGAGGAGGAGTGAGAAGAGGACTGGATATAGATACAGGCAAGTTTATAACATTGGATGATTCCAGCCTCCTCCCTGTCTCTCGCTCTCTCCTATTAAAACACAAAATGATACCCTGTCAGTTTGCTCCACGTTTCCGTGAGGCAGCTTAAAAGTAACAAACTGTTCCCTGAGTACAGGAAAAAACAACAACAACAAAATCCAAAAAAACACTAGAATAATTTTAAAGGAGGTAGTATAAAACAGGAATTGCATGGGTTCGAGGCAGTAGCAGTACTCACCTCTTTCAACAGACTCTTCAACTAAAGCTCTGGCTTTTTTATTTCTCATGGTAGCCTAATCAGAGTTTTAGATCAGCATATAGGTAAAGTCATTCCCTGAGCTAAAATTCCTGGCTAATAGCACACTAGGTGAAGGCAAGGAGGAGGTTTTCATCCTAACACCAGTTCTGAGACATACTACAATGCTTATCAGCACTCAAAGATGGGTAAAAATGAACTTTAAACTCATGTTACAGTTTACTTAAAACATCTAAGAAGGATTTAAGGCATCTTTCTGTACTCCAAAGGAACTTCATGAATACTAAAAAGGAATAAGGCAAATCAGTAATTTCATAATATATAATGCAAGGCACCACTGCTAAGAAGTACTGTGATACTGGAATACTCAGCACTGTTATCTATTCCATAACTCTCAGGCAAGGCCAAGCTGTTTGAAAATGCTGAGTACTCCTTGATTTTGCTATGATTTTTAACCTTAACTGTGAATACAGGGGCAATATTGCTCACACTGTGGGGAATCCAGCATGTCCCAGAGCCCCAGGGATACAGCATATCTCCTGCCAGCAGCTGCTGGCACCGGTTTCTGAGGAAAGGCACTGTCCTAGGCTTACTGAGGGTCTAAGAAATCAAGAGGTACAAAAGATTTCATGTGGCTGTATAGGTGGAAGTTCCAGTTCTCCCAGTTTTTAACATACTCTATGTCAACCACATGAAATCATAATGTTTTATACTCTGAGTTTTCCTTCTTTTTAAAGACAGAGCTTCAGCTAAACAATCTTGTCCACCAACCTATACAACTCCCTGATCACTGAGTACATCCACATGCACGCACACACTCACACACTCTCTACACACAACTTGGGGGGCAAATGAAAACAAAAAACCCCAAAAGAAAACAACACTACTAGGAAGTATCATCAGTTCCATAGCTGAGACCAACTAGAACACAAATGAGGTAAAGCAGTCGCCATTCAGAGTTCACCTCTCGGCAAACTGAGGTAGATAGTCAGCAAAAGGGCCAACAGCCTTCCCTTTGCTCCAGTGACATATTTTTAACTTTAGTCAGAAATCTTCACTCCTTTCACATTTTTTGACCACTGAACATTCAAAATGAACGAGCTTTAAAAAAACAACCCAAAATATAGGAAAAAAAACCCCCAACATTCAACAGAACTATGGATCACCTGCTAGGTTAGTCAGGCTTTCCACAATGAACCTTTGGCTCGCTGTTCATTGTCCTTCGAACAGACCCAGTGAGAATGTCCGGGGTGGCCGGGCTCAGTTGGGCAGGGCAGGGAGGATCTGCAGTGGGCCGGGGGCAGCCCCGAGCAGCAGTGGGGTCTCGGCGCAGCCGCTCACGGCCGGGCTCCCGGCGCTCGGGTCGCTGCCGGCCGGAGCGGAGCCGCCCGCAGCAGAGGAGAGGTGAATCTCATCGTTGGACTCGTGAGAAAACCTCCCGGAGTCGCCGGTCTCGTGGCTCCCTTCGCTGTTGGCCGAATGCTCCGTGTCGGCCGCACCGCCAAAGGGCACCTGGAAGTCCGAGCGCTGGCCGGGGGAGCCGCCGTGGTGGAGCAGCGCGCCGGGGCCGGGCTGGTACAGACACACCGCCTGCACGAACCTCCTCTGTGGCTGCAGAAAAACACAGGGAAAAGAGCCTCAGAATAGCTGAGCCATCACTTGAATTTTTACCACATCTCCTGCCTCCTATTCCACCAGAATGCTTCTCTCAGGGCTTTCCTGGAGGAGTTTAAAAATAATCCATCTCAAGTCTTGCTTGCACTTTTCCACAGCAGATGAAATAATCCTTCTAGAGAAGCATGGTTAATAAAAAAATATTTCACTGGGGAAACGTGAAGAGTATTTTAAAAACACACTTGGTAGAGCTCCCTCCCATCCCCTCGTGCATATTCTTTAAGCATTACTCCTTGGGTGATAGCAAATATTTTTCATATAGAGGCATCAGAAATACACAGCCACTTGCAGAAATATTTTTCAATACGATTTTACAACACGGATATCAAGACTTTCTAATTCTTAGATGCACAAGAGCACAATACAAGTTAAAATGCAATGAAGAATGGTTATACGCTCCATAGGTGTGAATTTGCATAGTAATGTTCCAGATTTGATTTAACACTTCAGTTTTAAACTGCTCTTTTTCTCAGTCATATGGCAAATATGTCCAGACCAACAATTTCAGAAGGCAGATGGTTCTATTCAGGTTCTCAATTTTCTCAACTTTTTTTTCTTTTCTTTTATACTTTGGATATATCATCTAGTTTCCCTCATTTGTTTCTCTTCAGCCAACAGAACTCTCAGCTGCTAGGGTAGGAAAGGATTCTTTCTATTTTAATATTATTTTTATTTGTAAATACATATTTAATTTGTATTTATATTTATACAGTCTCTACAGAAGTAGCTCATGCATTGCAAGGTACACAGAAATCTTTCTGCTCACAGATCCAAAGACAAGTAAGCCATCAGTTAACAGGAGAGTTACAGTGTCTGCCTGTAAAGAGTCACAGTGTCCTGATAACAATATCTGTCAGAAAATGGAATTTCCATAAGACTTCACTATGGTGAGATAGAACACCATCAACCTTACACAACTGCAACTACCCAATTAATACTATGACCACTAAATGTTTTTTCCATAAACAGAGAAGTAAGTATCTTCCTCTGCAAAGAGGGTATTACAGTAAAGATTGTGCATCTCTGCCCATTAGAGCAATTACCTCCTCAGCCTTTGTCTTCTTAGCATCTTGGAAGAACAGCCACCTCTTCTTGCCATTAGTCTTTGTGACAGGCCCATAGCTGTTAATAATCAGATCAGATCCTCCCTACAACAGAGGAAGATGCAGACATTTATTTTAATAAATTTCTAAGATACTTGAAAATATTCCTCTATTCCTATCTGTTGGTTCCATACTGAAAATGAAGACAAATGAAGCCTCAGTAGCGAGTGACATTTTTGTGGTCTGGCACCCATCTGCTCAAGACAAATCAAGAACAGACCCAGTAAATGTGGCAAGCTTTCTGTCCAGACCCAAAGCTGCAATAGTGCAGTCATACAGCAAAATATTCCAGCTACTGCTCTTGCACATAGAATGTGGCCATTCATAAGCAGTGTCTGTGCCTCTGCTGGGTCCATTTCCATTTCTTGGCTCTCACACATATCCTCAGGGAGCAGTTGCACTCAAGTTTGCAGTGTGAACAGAACAAGTCTGAACTCAGTATGCCTGCATGTGAAAGAAAGGCCACTGTGGTGTTGTCACACTGGACTTCTGGACTAAAGGTTCTGCACATCCCCTGGTACATCCTGTCATCCAGGCTAATTAATAATTTGACTAAGTATGAGTTTCTAAACTGCAACATTGTCTTACCAGTAAATATACAGAAAAATAGTACTTTTCTTAACACCTGCTTAGTGCCATGGTTGACTAGACTGTGCACAGGCACTGACTGAGCTAGGTGCTGACAAGGACCCTCACTTATCTCCTGGGAGAGGTGCACCTCAGCAGAGGCCACCGAGCAGCCTCGAGTCTCTGGGGCCTTTATCCTTTGATGCTGTGCCAGGGCCAAACTCTGCAATCTGCAAAGTACAGTCAAAAACAAGTGTATTCAACCAGATCTCCAGCTGAACTTTCAGATAAGTCTTGAAAATCTGAGCCTGGATTGCCATCTTTGTGCTTGTCCCAGTAATAAAACAGCCTCCTGGAGGTTTGTAGGAAATATATTTTACTTTTGATAAGGACTCTGATGTTACAACAAATTCTTAAGGGAGATTTCTGACCTTAGCATCAATGAAGCTGTTTCCTACTATCATTGGCAATAAGGATTCTTCATTCTCTGCAATTCCTTCAATATTCTTCTCCACATCATTAGGACTGGCTAATGAGATGCTGGTACGTGACAGCTGGTCAGTGCTTTGCTGCACAGGCTTAGGAGCAGATGCTTTCCTGCACAATGTTAAGAAGGAACAAAATTGACCCATAGGAATACAATACCCAAAAAAAAAAACCAAAAAAGGATAAACTTCAAAGCTATTATTAATCAAGTCATCCTGGTATATTCTTGGCATTTACATTTTGTTATGTGATACTCCTAACTCACATGGAATTTAAATGTTATTGCTTGTGATAAAAATAACATCTGCTTCCAGTTAATCATACACAGTAGGCTACAAGCTTATGTGCAGGCAGGAATTGTCATGATTAGTAATATTACTTGGAGGAAGTTACCACTAATGACATTAAGACCTTTCTACCATACTACACAGAGAACATCTCCCAATCCATGTTTTTTCCTGCATGTAAGCTAAAAAGTCCTTGTTACTGAAAAACATTTTCAGAGAGTTTTTAATTTATTTTTTCAAGTGACTTAAATTTATTCTGATCCCAAAATACTGGGCTGAGTCACTGGGCCAGTTTATACCCTCTAGAAGCTGATGACAGACACAGATGGTGGCTTGCACCACTGTAGAGAAACTGCACCATGGATCTGCTTTAAAATCTGCATCATGGAACTCCTTTATGACAGAGTTCCTCTTGTCCAGCAGCAGCCGGGGGGTTAAAGCCTTGCAAGGCAGGCGTGGGCAGGCTGGAGGGTTCAGCAGGAGGAGCAGATGATGAACAGCAGCATGCTTATCTGACCCAAAATTGGGGTTCAGCTGGAAACATGCCTCATACTGAGTTGTCAAAGCACCAGCACTGACTCACTCTGTGGGTTCTTCCTCCTTTTCCTTGGAGAAGGGGCTCCAGTAGAGTAGGAAGAGCCAACAAAGTGCTTTGTTTCCAACACTGGTAGAAGCAGGTGAAGAGACAGAGTACTTCAGAGAACTTGGCACTCTTGGAGGAGAAGGCACATCCAAGAGTGAGTACATTGGAAAAGAGCTCAGTCTTCGAGAACAAAAACATACCTGGCTTTACTGCGATAAATTAAGATCAGGATGCAGATAAGGATGCAGGTCAAGGCTATGCAAACCCCAACAACAATGCCAGTCATTGATTTCTGGTCCAGATGGTAATAGTCAGAATAAGCTGTATCAAAAAGGAACATAGAAAGGCTCAGTAAATAAGAAGAGTTAACCCCTGCTCCCTGTTAGGAAATTAATACGGTTGCAGTTAAAACCACAGAGACAAATGCTTCCTTCTAATGAGATTTCCAGGCCTTCTCTGTCATACATTTTTAAACTTTTGAAAATAAAACTTATAGACCAGAGGATTGTCTGGCCAGTGCAGTCCTGGGAGGGGAGGAAGAGGACAGACCCAGTGCTATTTGTATCTCAAGCCAGATAAAGGACTTAAAGGAAATGAAGACTGGCTGCAAAGTTACTGATGTAAAATTCAAACCAGTTATGTATTCTCATTTGCTGGCAAACTTTCCATTTCTGAGCAAGAAAATTTAAGCTGAACTGAGATAAAAATTCCAAAATGGTTTCATTTAGAAGAAGAAAATGCTACATTGTTAGGACAGCCTCACATAAAACAGAATGGTTTACCCAGAAAGTGGCTACAGCTAAAGCAACCAGGGATCTTTTCTCCCCAGTACATGTGACAGAGTAATCCAAACATTGCTACTGACTAGTGGGATCTCCAGAATCCAAGCGTTTCGGTCTCTGGTTAGACTCTGATGTCTCCTTTGGCAGGACAGCAAATTCCACTGCATTTGAGAAGGGTCCTTCTCCCACTTCATTGGAAGCTGCTATTTTAACCAAGTAGATGTTTCCTGCTACAAGGTTCTCCAGCAAAGCCATGGTCATTGCTCCTATGAAAAGATATAACAAACCATTCCAGTTTGACAAAACCTTGGGCAAAGACTCAGATTTAGACATTGAGACCTATACTTTTTTCCCAATAGCACCTCTAAATCTTGCTTGAGGATTGTGATTATTTTGATACATTCTACCCTGCATACACAAGCTAGAGAATGAACACTGGGCTTGCCTTTTCATCCCTTGTTTCTTCTCCATTCTATTTTAACATAGGACACTGTGAAGGGTCAGTATAGTTCCAAACCAAGATTCAAGTATTGACTATGACACAGAGCACACCAACCCTAAATCTGGCAGAGCTGCATTTCAGTGTGACAGCCTTTATGTTGTGATCACATCTGCAAGGAGATGCACCCAGCGTTAACCAGACTCAGGCAGAGAAACCAGAACATTAAACCTCTCTCATGTAGAACATGTGTGCCTCTCCTCCACCTACTGTACCATGAATGTGAATGAAAATTGACATTACAAAGGAATCCAGGTTCACTTGATCAAATTTCAGGCCTAGTTAAATGAACAGGGCAGTTCTGCAAGAGTACCTCATATCATGATTTTATAATAAAATTAAACCCTATTTAGACCTGTGTAGGCTTCCTTGATTACTCTGCATCTAAGCTGTGCTACTAAGAATATTACAGAAAATGTCTTTTTCATATGCTAGGGATTCATTTCCTAAAGTCCCTGAAGGCAGGAGAAAAAGATTAAGAACATAAATAGGATTCACTAGCATTGTCCTTAGACAGGCAAAACTCCTATCAAAGTCAATGAGAGCTTTGCCTGCTCAGGGACTGCAAATACTGCTTAGAATTCCAAATCATTTCTAAAATGCCTGTGTTTCTTGCTACCATAGAAATATGCTGCTTTTATTTCCCTAACAGTGGCACTAAATTAAAATTAAATTTATTTACAGCTCTAAAAATTAAATAAATTAAAATAAATAAATTAAAATTAAATTTAGTTGCAGCCCTAAATCTATCTCTTAATTTTCACATATTCCATTTAGTTTCTCAGACTTACATCAAAATTTTAACTTTTTAAATCAGTTTGAGAAGTCAAAATGTATAGTATCATGGGAACCTATAAAATATAAGGTTATTTTTTTTGACTGAAAAGATTATACATTTGGCAAAAAGGAAGCTACTTCAAAAGCTATTTCAGTTCTTCCATTAAAAAAACCCAAAACCATTAGCTGAAAGCATTTGGAGTAAAATGTGAGGTATCTGTAACCAAAGGAGCTGTAATATTTAGCACCAGCAAGGGTGAAAGGTCACATTTCACTATCACAGGCTCCTTGCCACAAGCTCCTTTCCAATCTGCTGCATTGCTAAAGCAAGGGAGCACTTGGGGGTGATTTACTGCACACCAAGTGTGCAAGGGCTGTAACTTCTGATCCACTTGAAGAGAACTAGGGAAGAAGGAGGAGGTGGCTGGAAGACAACTCACATCATGAATCAGCACCAAAATGCAGTAATATTTTCTGGTTTTGCCAGGCCTAAGCTCAGTCAAATTAGGGGGTGGACTGGGAGAAAATTTCCTCCAGAAACTGAAGCCCATGCTTTTATAGGTTGCAGGGTTGGTTTGTGGTTGTTTGGTTTTTTTAATTTTTTTAATTTTTTTTTTTTTTTTTTTTATTTGAGGGGATTTCTCTGGAGTTATGAGAATGGAATGGAGTAGAGATTTCACAAATCTTTTGCAGAACAAGTTTGGCATCGAGGCAAAACAATGTTATTTATTTCATAGGATTAACTGATCTAATCAGAATAAATGCATTAAAGAACACAAACCCTGCTTCTACCTCAAATGAGAAATGAAACTATGAAAGCACTGTCACAGGACTGGTATTTGCCCAATTTTATCTCTACATACTAATTTCCTTTCACAGACTTTTCCATCTATACTTTAACTAAGACCATAACAGATCATCCTAGTGTGTCAAGATGCCTGAATTCCACGCCATGCCTCAAACCCTAATATATCTGTCAAAATGCAAAATTTGTGGCTCTGGCATGGATGGGCACAGTAATACACTGAGATTTATAGCTCTCCATTTGCTCATTCCCTCCAACACTTTCAGTATGGGAACACATGAAAATGTTTACTGTTATTGCCATCCTGTCATCTGAAATCTCTGGTGAAATACTATCAGAGATGCTGCTCAGTTTCACAGGCATGACTGAGCTGAACGATGTATCTGAAAGCAATTCAGCCACTTTGCTGCATGCAGCAAATAGAGTGTATCATCAACAGAATGACAAGATTTAGTCTTCAAACACAAACTCTCTGTGAATTTAAATCTGATGGGTTTTTTATTCGGTAAAAATAAACAGTAAATTTGTCCTTAAACAATATCACTGTTTTCCAACAATGCAGTTGGACAACTTTATTTAAATTACTTTTTCAGTGAAAAATTTTAATAGTGAAAACCCATGGGCTCAATCTTCCCCTGTAGTTAGACCTGATTGATATTTCAGAGACTAGTTATTTTTCACAAATTTAGCTTAATAGTAATTTTCCTGTTACTCTTCACAGCTGTCCACTCTCTTTGAGGCCAGCCTGACAAAACACCATTGTGCTGCAGCAAAGTGGCACTGCCACCTTTCAGAGAGGCTGTTGGTCCTTTGTCCTCTCTTCAGGAGCAGCACAAAGAACAACAGCTCTGAACTAGAACAGATCACTCTCCATGATGGTGAAATGAAATCTCCTCTGTGAGAGCATTCTCATTAAGTTTTTAGAATTCTCCACAGAAAATTTATAGCCTCACTCTTGGCTGACAACTAAGCTCTATTTTGACTATCAATGGAACAATAAATGCCTTTTATTTTTTTCTGGCTACAGTAGAAATCTGTTCTTGATTCAGCTCTTCAAATCCCAGTATTATTCAGAAAAGTGCCTACAAAAATTTATACTATCTCTACATTTAATCACAGAGATGTGACTGCAGTTCATGTCAGCATACCCAAGGTACTGTGAGGTTAGCTGGGGCTCAGCAATAGAATAGAGCCAGAGTTAAATTGAATTTGCAGAGTGATTGACTGGGAGTAGGAGAAAGTTCATTAAGCAGACTGAGCTAACTGGATTGACAGTGATCGACAGAAATGTATAAACCCACACAGCCACATTTAAACATTCATTTCTGGAGAGCAAGGCATCTCAGAGACTTGAGATTTGAAAGAGTGCATTTACAAAATGAAACCGTCACAATCATGGTTGCAACGGAACTAAGATGGATGTAATTGGATTTACAAGACATTTTGGTTTACAAGCATACACTGAGCTCCAAAGCAACACAGAGAGCCCCTTCTCCCATCACTCACTGAATATGAACTTGTTTTTTCATGCATCCTCCCATGGCAATAATTCTAAACTAATTGGAACTTTCATGTGAACATTTATATGGATTTACTTCATAATTCATTGTTGTAGTGTAGTCCAAGATTGCTGAAAATAACAAAACATCTTATAAGTAGCATCACTGTTTGTCCAGTTCATAGGTTCATGATTTTAGTTTACCTTCTCTGTGCAACACTTGCCATTCCCCGGCAATCCAAGACTTCCTGGATGCATAGAGGATGGTGTACCGTGTAACAACTGTTTCAGGACCATCAGGTGGCTTCCAGGAAACCAGAGCAGTATTATCCTCTATCAAAGTCACCTTCACTCCTACTGGAGGGCCAGATGGTGCTGTGAGAACAGTAACACAATGCTATTAGGCTAACCCAATTTACATGCAATTAAATTGCTCAGAAAGGAACTGATGTGCAGACCTAATGGCCACTGCTACATCCCAGAAACCACACATGAAACAAACACATACTGCTCCTCAGAGACACTCCCCTGTTAACTCTGAGCTGGTCAATAGCTTAGACTCTGTAAAAGCAAGTTTCCTATTTTTCCCTCAACTCCAGAAAGGAACAGTTACTGACAACCCCCCACTTCATTATCCTGTGAACAAGTACCTCCCAAACATTGCTTTGGTGAGAACATGAAACTGCAGGTGTGGATTTTCCCCTATCAAGCTGACAGTAAATCAAACCAGCATCTAAGCCAGTAGATGTGTAATATTCTTAGTTTCCAAAACTTTCGGGGTTCAAAATATGTTTTCATAAATGCCTATGAATCAGCCATGCCTCTTCAATACATAAATACATATTTTAAAGTTTTTATTCAAGTTATTTCTATGCAGTGGCTGCTACTAGTGAAAGCATCACACTTTATACAAAAATCAATGCTGATTTAGGGTGGATTTTGAAAAAGAATTTCACAGTTCCAAAACAGGGATTTGCCTGCTAGCATTTTTCTATCTCTCACCAAGAAGAGCACTATCTGTGTCTCAGAGGAAAGGATTCTCTCTCCTACACACAGCTTAAAATTAATAAGCACTTTTCCAGGCCATTTGGTTTACAGAGCACTCTTTTTAGAACCACAGGATCCCTCTCCTGGTTCCTTACCTTCAGGAAGGGTAGTGTGATAGACTACAGGACTCCAAGGACTGGAGAGCTGGTCCACATGCAATCGAACTGCAAATTCATACATGGTTTTTGGCTCAAGACCTTGAACTAACATGTGAGTCTCTGACCTGGACAGATGAAGTAATAAAATACATTAAACAGCAGCAGTTGACTTGAAGATCCCCAAATCAGATGTCTCAGTCACACGGGTAGATTCCCACTCTCAGTTCAACACAGGACAAACCAGTCCAAGTCCAGACACATGGCACATCTGTGCTGCCTACCTGGAAATGTAATTCTACCATCCCTGGAGCTCTCAGGAGCATTTTATGTCTGCTGTCAATTGATGTGAACTCAAGTTTTTATAAATGTTGTTTGAACAGCTGATGCACAAACAATATTATTGGCTGGATCACCAGCAGGTATCCCAAACTCAGCTCTTTCCACACTTGTCCATAGGACACTGTGCTTCAAGTTGGAATAACAAACTGCATCCAGCATCACAGCTGACAAGGCACCTGGCGCTGGCTCTTGGATCTACTTCCCAGTTCACACACAGAGGCTACATGGGCAACATCCCCTTCCACTTATGACATCCACACCTCATGTTTAGGATATGAACATGAATGCTCCTTACTCATCTGGTAGCAATATTTAGTAATTTATAACTGCAGAATTGATTCTATTAATTATAATACTGCAGTTAACAATTTGATCACAAAGTCAATTGTAGACATTTTACTTTACTTTGATTCTGGAGCAGAGGGAAATCTTTCATATATGCCAGGGTCAATACTGGATGATAATACCCCACTCAAGATTAAATCTCAATTTAAAATGGTCTTACTCTACAGATATTGCTTTATTAAATCTCATTTAATAAGTGTTTTCATCTTCTGTACTGCAGGGGCAGTAACCAGTCCTTGCAATAGCCTCATCCTATCACAAAAAGCAGCACTCATTGCTATGCTCCACATTGCACACTAAGAACTTTACATGGTGATTATACTGTGTCTAATCGTTAAGCCGGGAGTTATAGAGCAGCAGATGTGTTCTTGGAAGAGAAAACCACGAATATAAGGATGGAAACTATTTATCCTTTAAGACAGCATTTTTCTTATTTAGAGGCTTGAGTAAACTGAAGTTTTGAGGGAGCTGCACACATGGATTCCCTCACCAGCCCCACAGCCCCCAGCATGGAGCAAAGTGCTCTGCTCCCACACCAGCTGGGCAGAGGCTGAGCAGCAGCCCAGGGCAGGCTCCCTTCCCTGTTCAGCCATTCTGTGCCTCACACATTGATTCTCTGCAAAGCAAGCAATCCTACTTGGCTTTCCCCTGGCAGGGTGCCACACATTTAGGAATGTGGCATTCCCACAATGAAATCCCCAACCCCTCAAAAATTCTCATTTTCAGTCTTAAAATCAGACACTGGACTCAGTCCCATCTTTGACCATGCTACCTGTAAAATAGATATTGTCTTTTGTATAGTTGAAAAAGAGCTTAAAATTAAAATCAACTGAGACAGCTAAAAAGACATTACAAAAATCAAGAGCTCACCCAATGAGCCAACACAAGGATTACTGGCACAGAATGAAGATGTTCTATGAATATATCTTAAGAAACCTAAAAAACTTTTAGGAGCCAATGGGCAAAACACAGTCCTCTAAGGGAAATAACAATTGTTGCTAGTAAAAGAAAATTAAAAGAGAGCAGGAAGAGTAGAAAGTGAGTGGGAAGGATCTGGAACCAGCAATCCACCCCAGCAGCGCTGCACTCACGTTTGGAGGTAGAGCACCAGGGAAGCGTTCTGCAGCCCCACGGGGTTGCAGCGCACTGTGTAGTTGATGAGCTGAGCAGAGGTGAAGGCAGGCTTTCCCCAGTGAAGGTAGATGGAGGATGAGGTGTTAGCCTTGGCATAGAGGTGGTGAGGAGGTGGCGGGGGTGGCACCATGCGATCTCGGACAGCTGTTTAAAACAAAACAGGAGCAGGAATTATTTACTGCATTGTATACAGATACCAGTTATATGAAAAGGTCTGAGCCCACAGTTTAGATACAAATCTGCCCTAAGCCAGCACTAGCTGGTGTTCATACCCAGGAAACTGGTTAAACTATTAGAGATCACTCGTGGCCCAACACATATCCCATGCAATTTCTGCAATCCCAATTGTTTATTCAAAAATAAAGTCAAAACTATCAGAAAAGACAAGAAAAAGAGATAAATCTCTCACAAGACAGAGAATACATCATGTTAGATGATGCAGATAGTTCAGCAAGGGAGGGAAATGTGCTTGGGCTGTCTTGTTTCTTCAACTGCACCTCATGAACACAGGACACTGTCTCAATTGCAGGATGACTAAGGCAGTATTTGTCACTGATATATCTTCCTTGCTCTCTGTTTTACACTGGATTTATTGATTATTTAGAAGTTAAAAATACAGAGCTGCTGGGGCCCTGAAACGCCTCAACTTTCAATAAATTCTTCATGCATCTACAACACTTACAGACACATCCTGGAGTGCTGACTGTTTGGTCAGCCTGATAACCTTCTTCCATATTGTTATATGCCAGCAGCCTTACATGATACTTTCTTCTAGGATCTGCAGAAAGAGCAAAGGAATAATTAAGCTCAAGAAAAAAAATAAATGCATAAAATTAAAAGAAAAGGATATTTGAACTTCCACAGATAGTGAGACAAATTGATGCTCCTGAAAGTTTGTTTCAAAACTTGTTTGTTACAAGCAGTAGACTGATGGACAGGCTGGATGCCTGGAAGCCTGTCTTTTCTCCAGCCCTGAGAATTCCTCCAATTCTTTGCACAGAAACAGTCAGTTATCTCCCAATCTCACAATAACCTAAAGCAAAAATTTGTAACAGAATCAATGGGAGTAGGACAAATACCACATTTCTATCTGTAACAAAGCCACGCCTTCACAGCTGCTGAGCTAAATTTAATAGTACAAGTCAGCATATTGGAAGGGTTTTCAGACCTATAATAAAGATTTGTTAAAACAAACAGCAGGAGGTCCACAGAGCCCACTGTTTGTTTCTGGATACACAAGCTGCATGGAAGCAGGACAGTCAAAGCAATGGCAAGACAGCACCCAGCAAAGAAATGGGAAATGTTTGGGCTCCAGGCTTTGAAGGAGATAAACTGTGAAACAACAGGGATTGTTAATAATGCTTTGGCAAGGAAATTCTGCCTCCATGTTTTCTTAAAAGCTGCCTCTGGCACTCCTAGAGGGCCACCATTCCAGGCTGGAAGGATCTCCCCACACCCTTTCTCTGCCCACACCTCTGGGTGGCCACATCTAGGTTTGCTGCTTCAGACCAAGTGAAAAATTGCTACAGAGAAATGAGTTAGGAAGGGGCCTGGAGCTCTCTAAGTGGTGATGGCGTGGGCCACCCACAGGACAGGCACCAGTGAGCTGCAGGGTGGCAGAGTTTGCTACCAAGTCATAGGAGCTAAACTTCACCCCAGTACTGATACAGGTACTGGGATATTCTCCTCTTCTAATAACACAAACCTATTTCTTTTAATTAAGATTTCCGGAAGGTTCAGATATTATATAACTGTGCTGATCTTGTTCATGTCCTTTTTCCTTACCCTAAGATATTGTAATATTATCAAAATAAGCTCTTCTCTTTCTCCTTTTAGCTGAGATTTGATGTGGCCTCTCATGCAATAAACAGGAACACAAAGTCCTGACATTTCTCAGCCAGGAATAGGAATGTTGTTTCCATCAGATCGTTGGCTCCCTCTGCAGTCACAGAACCAGCAACACCATCTGAACAAAATGATTGGATGTTTCTGTAGAGATGGCAGGGTAATTTCCTAATAATGCCCTCTATTAAATCTTAGTATTTATTTTGAAATAGACACTCTTTCTGTGCCGTAGTTACCCATATCAGCTGTAAATGAGATATCACTGGGTAAAGTTAACTTCTCTATGTATTTTATGTTTATCTTTGGAAGGTTATTTTACCAAAATCTAAAGCAAAAGGGCTCCTGTATTTGGATTATTATATTTGAAGTACTTCTTTGATGAGATTGACCTTAATGGTAGAATAGGCAAGATGAGGCCATTCCCGTTTTTTGAAGACTTTAACATTACAAACAGACAATGTAAATTACAAAATGCAGAAGAGAAATAAAAAAACAACCCATTTTTTTTTAAACCAGAGTAAAATTCTCATTTGCTTCAAAGGTTTTTTTTACTCTACAGTAGCACTTTGACCACAGATAACATCAGTGCAACAAATTACAAATCAGAAAAAAAAGAGATGGTTACAAACACACAGAATAATCTTAAGCATGTGATAAAAGAATATATGGAATTCTAATATTGAAAATTCAGAAAAAGAGTAAGATGTTATCCATAAAAAAATTGAAATTTTTTTTTTAAAGTTGTAAAAATGCAAGGTGAATTTAAGAACACTGGGCCCAAAAAAATATATCCAAAAAGATAAATGGTAAAAATCTTTCAAAAGTCCCAAGTGATTTGAATACACCAAAATCAAGTCACGGTGCTTGTTGAGGAATATTAGAGGATGCATCTCAGAAAAGCAGGAACAAACACCTCCCCAGGCCTCTTAACCCGCGGTAGGAACGCACACATTAGCGCCCAACCCCAGTATTCAAAAACAAAACCAAAATTTAAGGCAGAGGTCACCAGGACACCTTGAAGGGCTCGCCAGGAGCACGCTTTGGGGGTTTTTATTAAAGAGGTGCCCTGTCCCAGCCATTCCCAGCAGAGGCTGGAGCTGAGCAGCCCCCGAGCCTCCCGGCCCCATTTCCGCAGGACACAGCACGACAGGCACGGCCATCCATCATCCTGCCGAGCACCTTCAAAAACTCCCTGCCCTTTGAAATGCTCACCCAGAACTGATCATCTTCACTGTGAAATGAGGGATAGCTGAGCTCCAGTGCCCTGCTGAGCTGAATGAGGAGCCTGTGAGGTCTGCTTATCCTCACCGCATTTCTTTTTTTAAACTGAATTCCTCATTAACACTTGATTGAGGAGAAAAGGAAGAATAATGGGATGTGGAGGAAAGGCAAAAAAATCTAACTCCCACAAAAAAAATCAAATGTCTTTGAGAAAAATATGTTTTTAAAATCTTACTTTAAGTATCCTTAACACTTTACAGGTAGAAGCAGCACAATGTTGAATGCTATTCTTCCTATTCCTGTATGACACAAGAAGTTTCAAGCAGAACTATCCTTATATAGAAGAACCTTATGAAATGTAGTCTCCCAGGTAGTCATTAGCATCTGAGAAACAAGGTTATTTCCACTTCATGTCATGGTTTAATTGCTAGCAGGACCAGTTCAAGCCAAAAGCGATGCCAGAATTTTTAAGCTGTCACAAATTAGGGCATCTATGGTTAAACCCATCTGCCGGTTTCTGTAATTGAAATAGCAACTGAGGAGGAAGGAATATGTTATGTGCTGGCCTAGGAAAGCCTAATGCTACAGTCATCTAAAAAGGAGACTAGAAAAGCATTAAAGACAGTGTACTGAGCAGCAATAGAAATTGATGTGAAACTTGCTTTACAGAGTACACACCTAACATAAGGAATGACCAGTTCAAAACATTGCCAAGTTGCAGATCCATGTTGATAATTTTTTCACCATGTCCCAGACACGGTAACCAAAGCTCTGCCAAAGACCTACCTCAGATCCAACAGTTATTTGCTCACTATTTGTTTTATGAGGTAGTGGGAAATATTTTTTGTCTGAAGTAGCCTTTGTTTAGAACATTTTTTACAATTTTACATTTCATTTATGGGCTGATGATACGATTTAGTCCTCAGAGGCAATCCCAATGCACACCTGGCACAAACACTTTCATCACACAGTTCATCAGCTGGATCAACCACTCAAAGCCAGACATATCCATAGAGAGAAAACAAACTTCAGGAGCTTTATCTTTAACCAGCACGGGTATCTGGAGTGCTTTACACATAAATCACACAAATCATTGATGAAAGACTGGGGAGAGCACGGGCACCTGGGGACTGACAGTCTCAAATCCAGTGTGTACATCCATGCACAGGAGGCTTGGAGGGAACAGTCATGCTCACAACAGACCCAGGAGTAACACATTTCTCCACAGAAAATCACTGCTCTTCAGAAACAAAGCAGAGATTTACTCAGCCTGCTTAACATAAATTGGGCTTGAGTAAAAAAAACATACACATCAAGATTTCTTCTCTGCATTTTCAAAATTCCTTTGAATAACTGGTAACACTGAATTGTTTCAATTAATTCTCTTGCAATTGCCAGCATTTGTGTAGAGGTTGAAGGCTTGTTCCCAGACCTAAGGTGAACAGGAACAATTCTGTAGCCCATTTACCAACTGCAGAATTTTTTTTAAGTTAATTTGTTTCTTTTAAATATCATTTTGGGGGGTTTATGCCGTTGGTATTAGATTATTTTAAAATTGTCACAGCACCTACAGGTCTTTAATAGGCATTTTTACTGTTAATACTTAAATCAGCTGGTGGAAAGAACAAAAAATCTACACTGTAGATCTACACAAATTAGGGGAGTGGCAGTGATGCTGATAGTAACACACTAAAGCTGATTCATAAATTTTATTACAAGAGTGCCTCTGGAACACACAGATTGTCTTAAAAGACATCACAGAGTGGAAGTGATATGCTTCACACAGTTCAAGGGCTCTGCTGCACACACCCATTTTGTGCAAGCAAAACCTATCAGCATTAAGAACACGTGAATAACAGTTCCATCAGAGGCACAAATGTTGCTGCTGGTAACAATATTCCTACAAAATAAGAGTAGGGAAAAGTATCTTATGTCTTCTGTTTATGCCTTATTTTGATTAACTTCAAATATCAAAATAGATACTGTCCCAAAAATCACTGGATTGTAATTTATGTCAGATCAGCCTCATCTTCCTATGGCAGTTTTTGTAGGTAGGTCACTGTCCCCTGGTGATATTCCTCTGGAATATCATATCCTCTCATTCACTCTCCCAGAACAATTTGCAGCGAGTCCTGCAGATCCAACCAAAAAGGTCTTTCAGCAGAGAGACACATGGGGGAGCCTTGTCTTCATTTTGTGAGTCTGTGAATGGGTTCTACACCTCAGAGTAAAACTAGAGCAAAGTTAAATACTGCAAGTATGAGGTGAAAAAAAAAAACCCAAAACTATAATTTAAAACATGGATTGTAGCTTGGAAAAACATAATACATTACAGTAGCTGAATTTCAGTAAGAATTCAGGTGACAATGGTTTATTGGTGCATTTTACTGTCTTACTACATCCCTGAGATATAATCTTAGAGATTATATTTAGCTTGTCAGAAAGCAGACACGAAGGTCACAGCAGATACAAATTCTTCAAGAAAAATACTACAGTGCACCCAGATCTTCCAACTCATTTCATTTCCCAGCATGGAGAGAGAACCACAGCTGCTTATCTGCCTGGATGTGAAAAACAGAGAAACTGCAAAAATATCACAAATAATTTAGGTTTGAATTATTAGCAGTTCTGTTGCTCTACACTTCATCGGAACATCTACATTTTATTGCACCAGCTTGAAATTATTCTGTATTCTTTACTCCTGCCATCAGC